GTTGGCATTGTCAAAACATTATGCAAAGGATGGCACAAACGTATCAAAAACATGACCCTTCCTTACGGGTTAGGGGGGAAAAGATAATTTAAGCGGCGCATAATGACTAATTAGTGTTTCTTGTCAAGGTAGCAGAGGGAAACTGTTTCTTTAAAGTGAAGGAGTCCAGATATCAAAGATTTACTGACAGTAATGAAATCACCAATGCAGACTGTTTTAGAGAGGTGCATCTGTGCACTGAATAAACTCCCCACATCTGGACGGGGGTCCAGTTCCTTGTTGTCTCACATCTGGTTGTCACCGCTATGCTGAGTAGATGGGGATCAAAAGACAACTGCAGACCTTAGACTATATGGAACTGGCAGAAATGACTGGCAGAATTCGAGACTTGGGAGAAGAGACAGTGGAAGAGGACTGGAAAAAGTTCAAGAACTATTTGCAAAAACACTATAAGCTGTATGAATGTTAAGAAGATGCAGGATAGAAAATAATATGGCATCAATAATCGGATTGTAAGAAATATGAGATTAAGTGATATTCAAGTGAAAAGAAGTAATTTGGAGTAACACTATGTCTAAATCAAGTTTTTATGTATATGATAAAAATAAGTAAAGATGGTTACATAACATTTGAAAATTACATAAGTATTGAAGTAAGGTGATAAATTGCTGTTTATAAATTTATAATTGGGAATGCAGGTACGGGAGATGTGAGGAGGTCCAAAAAGTTATGAAAATTGGATATGAGATATTGGATACTATTTTCTTTCCTTTCTTTCTTTATTCTATGCTTTGTTCTTTTGTTTTGTATGTTTATCTTTGTTTATTAATTGTTTAAAACTTTCAATAAATATTATTAAAAAAAAGACAACTGCAGACCAACCCATACTCATATAATTCTTGCTCTGCATCAGGTTGTTGGGGAGCTCTGTCTGTCATGAGAGCACAAATGCAATGAGATTGGTGGGTATTTTGCAGTTCTGCCATTTTGCATCGCTTTGATTGACAGATTGTACCCCTAATGGTACAACTCTTTTTTCCTCCTGTGCAAGGGCTTGCCTGAAATGTGAAAAGGGGTGTTCTTGCACCTGATCAGAGAATCATATCTCTGAACTAACAGGCCCCAGTTTGTTGCGTCATGGAGCTTATATCAAACATCTGTTCCCGTGTCCATGGTAAATGTACTTTGCTGGAAAATGATAGAAATGAAGATAACATCTGGATTTTCATGAAAGTGTTCAGACTCCTTTGACATTTAGTTATAATTGTCAGGCTTTTCTGACAGTTCCATGGGGACTCTTAAGAATTACAGATGCAACATAAAAAGAGGGTGCTGGATCAGACCAATGACTCATCTAGTCCAACATCCTGTTCTCACAGTGGCTGACCAAATAATTTAGGGAAAGCCACATGCAGGATTTGAGCACAAGAACATTTCCCCTTCCTGTGGTTTCCAGTAACTGGTATTCATAAGCATTGCTGCTTCTGTCTGTGAAGGCAGAGCCAAGCCATCATGGCTAGGTACAAAAGGTAGGGTGGGGATTATTTTTTTTAAATCAGCTTTTCATATATTATAACAATATATCTGACATACACATAAATACGCAAGAACTATCGTATTACACGGGAAGAGAACAATCAGCAACTACTAACAATCTGTGGCAAAAACCAAATGCCTTTCAACCCTAGATGGGCCTTATTCAGTTTTACATTTAAATTACACCTGATTCGTGAAAATAATAATAAGGGGGGAAAGAGCCCAAGCCTCCTGGTCTAATAGGCCAAGAAAGGGGCCACATGCACTCTGGGTTCTCATAGGGAACATCTGAAAGGATGGTAGTTCCATTCAGATATGACAATCACACCAGTAAGATGTGGGAGATGATGTATAAACACTGGCATTTGCTTAAAGATGGATGTCAGGATGGCCCTATGTTTGAATAGGCTCAGGACCGCACTACCTCAAGGACCACCTCTTTCCAAATGAACCTACCTGGACCCTGAGCTGAGGCCCTCCTTCACGTGCCGCCTCCTTGAGAGGTCCAGAGGGTGGCAACACGAGAACGGGCCTTTTCTGCAGTGGCTCCCCGTCTGTGGAATGCTCTCCCCAGGGAAGTTTGCCTGGCGCCTTCATTATACACCTTTAGGCACCAGGCAAAATGTTTCTTTTAATCCAGGCCTTTCGTTGATCTGAATGACATCCCATACCCTTTTAAAATGTTGCTCTTTTTTTGAAGGGGGTATTATTGGGTTGCTGTTTTTATTTTGATTCTATATATTATGGTTTTTATGCTGATATTTTCTGTGAACTGCCCTAAAACCTCTGGGTATAAGGCAGTATATAAATTCAATTAATAATAATACAGTGGTGCCTCGCAAGACGAAATTAATTTGTTCCGCGAGTTTTTTCGTCTTGCGATTTTTTTCGTCTTGTGAAGCACGGTTTCGGGAAAGTTTTGGAAAAGCTTCAAAAATCACCAAAGTCTTCAAAAACCTCAAAAAAGGCTACCACACCACGTGCTATGAGTTGTTCCTCAAAGTCAAGTCGCAACTGTATTAACGGTTTTAAGAAAAAGCAAACAAACTTGCAAGACGTTTCCGTCTTGCGAAGCAAGCCCATAGGGAAAATCGTCTTGCAAAGAAACTCAAAAAACCAAAAAACCCTTTCGTCTTGCGAGTTTTCCGTCTTGCGAGGCATTTGTCTTGCGAGGTACCACTGTAATAATAATCAGAAACAAAATGAATTGTATTTTTGAACTTGAGCAAAACTTTCCTTTTTCTAGAGCTGCCCACCCATACAAGCTGCATGAATTGCAAGGCGCTGAGACACAAGGTTAACCTTTCCGGTTGCTCCTCTCAATATTTGTCGCCTTCTAAAACCCCAAGCATTTCACAGCATACTATTTCCTTACCTTCTGGAGTGGGATTTGATTATTATTATTCTCTCCCCTCCATCACCACCCTGAGTGAATCTCAGAGCCACTGTTAAAACAGGCTGGGGTCCCACTGGCATTCTAGTCCCTAGTAATTCAGCCAGATAGTTGGAATAAAAAGCACCGGGTCATCACTTTTCTCTCCCCCTGGAGCTTTGGTTATTGAAGCATCAGATCTTGCCTTTATTTCCAAGGTCACCAACTTTCTGCTAGAAGTGTTTATTATTTTTGGAGTACGGGAGGAAGCATCACCTTCAGCTCTGCCAATGCGTTTTCTGAGCCTGACGCTCTCTCCTTCCGTAAATCTGTTTTAGAGGTGTTAGCTCTTTGTCTCTCCCCTTCCCCGAAACGACTCCCCTGTTCTTCAATGTCGGTAAGTGGTTTCTTTCTGGCTATTGAAGCTTTTTTGACATTCCCGTTTAAAAAATATTGCCAATCTGATTCAGCTTTCACAGTGTAAATAAGGAAAGGAGGGGGGCAGAGCTGAGCTCTGCTACTGTGGTATGGGGTTTCCTGTAATTTTTTGTTGTTGTTGGAAACAAAAGCCATACTTAAAAGAAACCAAAATACACATCACCACCACATCTTCCCCCATATTCCAGACAACATACAGCAGCTGCTGCTTACCTCGGCAGCGGCGTAGCGTGGGTTGTCAGCACCCGGGGCAAGGCAAGTAATTTGCGCCCCCTAACCCGTGGATTTGCGCCCCCTAACCTGTGGATTTGCGCCCCCTAACCCGTGGATTTGCCCTAACCCCAGATGTTGCGCCCGGTGCGGCCGGCCCCCCCTGCACCCCCACGCTACGCCACTGTACCTCGGGTTAAGTACTTAATTCGTTCCAGAGGTCCGTTCTTAACCTGAAACTGTTCTTAACCTGAAGCACCACTTTAGCTAATGGGGCCTCCTGCTGCTGCCCCGCCGCCGGAGCACAATTTCTGTTCTCATCCTGAAGCAAAGTTCTTAACCTGAAGCACTATTTCTGGGTTAGCGGAGTCTGTAACCTGAAGCGTATGTAACCCGAGGTACCACTGTACCTGAGTATCATCATGCAGCCGTGATGGGGCAGCTGTGCGAATTTTGCTCACCACATCTTATCCCGGGAAACCTCAGCCTTGGGGGCCAAATGCAGCCCTCTAGACCTCTCCAAAGGGCCCTTGGAATTCTTCACAGGCCACACCCCTTATCTCTAAGCCACGCCCCTCAGCAGCCCTGCTCTGAGCCGTCCGTCAGTGCTTTTATGTAGCTGCAGTACATGCTTGAATTGTGCATATATTGCTTTCTTGGATGGAGAGCAGAAGGGTGTCTGTAAGGAGAGACTCCTGACTTCTGTCGTGCAAAAGTCAGTCACATCTGTCAGTCCCATTCACTTTTGCCCCACCTACCCCATGGCCTGTGGTCTCCAGAAGGTGTTGCAGCTATGGTAGGTGGGGCATCAATGAAAAGGCTTGCAGGCGGATGTTGATAGGCCTAACCCATGCAAGACACGGGCTTATTTTAGGCTGTGTACTGCATTTTGTATAGTTAAAGCACACGGCTTTACCCAAAGTATCCTGGAAACTGTAGTTTGTTAAGGGTGCTGGGAATTGTAACTCTGTGAGGGCTAAACTACAGTTCTCATAATTCCTTAGAGCAGTCGTTCCCAAACTTTTTTTGGCCATGCCCCACCTAAGCATCTCTAAAATCTTGATGCCCCCTCCCCTGTGACATATAATTCTTATTATTCAAAAAGTGAACTCCTATTCATGTGGAGGAAGCCTAAAAGGCCATTAACTTGGTCTAAACCAGCTTTCACATTCCCCCCCTTAAAAATCAAATTGTCCGTCTGTGGAGCGTGTGCCCCATGTTGGGAACCATGGCTTTGGAGGAAAGCCATGTGCTTTTACTGTATTGTGTATATGCAGTCTTAGTAATAAAAAAGCAAGGGGGGAAAAGAGTGTTCATTCAGCTGCAGTGACCAAAAGCAACTCTGTGCATTTTCTGTTCTCTGAAATGTTGCCAATGATCTCATTTGCCGTATGTTTTAAGACCATCGACTGTTCTGATGATTTCAATTAATTCTCCTCCACAGGTCCAGGCGCCTAAAAGGGCATTAAGATGTCGTTCCGTTTTGGGCAGCACCTTATCAAACCCTCTGTTGTGTTTCTGAAGACGGAACTCTCCTTTGCACTTGTGAACCGGAAGCCTGTGGTTCCGGGTCGTATCCTTTTTTCCCTTTGGTTTGCATGCATCTTGCATAACAGTCCATTTCTGGAACCTTGGCTGTCTCCGCCGGAGTAGAAGGAGCCCCTCTTTCCCCACTAAAGAGCAGGTAAGATGTTACTCATATTTATTCTGAAGCCAGTCAGTGGAGCATAATATGCTTGATCGGTGTTGCAGAACTTCTGAAAGCGGTTGCTTAGCAACAGTGACCTTAGAGGTGAATTTTCTTCTGACCTTTTCACCACAGAAGATGTATAAATAAACAGGTGGTGCTTCTTTGCTTCTCTTTCCCTTTTCCTTGTTTTAAAAAATGATCTGGATGGTGTCTCAGAGATGCTCCTGTTTTTAACTGTCACGTTATCGGCCCTGTTGGGCAGCCTATTTTGCTTCCCTTCACCCCACAAATATTTTGGTCTAAGCAAATGCGACCCAGGTCTGGCATTGGGAATTAAAATGTAACAAGTCTCTTAAGGCGTCCAAGTGCCAAGCACAGCAGTGCCAAAGTTTAAACTCCTTGCTTCTCTGGTAGCCAACGAGGTAAATAATCTGGTTGGAGACCTTTCTGGACGTTACTATGTGTGTGTTTGGGAAGTAAAAAACAACAACAGATAGAACTGCTGATTGCTCATGACAGGAAAGATCCACCTATAGCAATCTTTCTCAAAATTGGGTCTCCAGCTGTTTTTGGACTACAACTCCCATCGTCCCTATCCAGCAGGACCAGTGGTCAGGGATTATGGGCACTGCAGTCCAAAAACAGCTGGAGACCCAAGTTTGGGAAACCCTGATCTACAGCTTTTTGGTGATGAGATCATAGTTTGGTGCTAGAGTACCTGCTTTGCATTCAGAAGAGTTAAAAGGACTCGGGTAGCAGTTAATGGGAAAGACATGAGACCATAGAGACCTGCTTCCAGGCAAGGTTGGAGCGAGATCTATCAAGTCCATATTCAGGCTATCAGTGGCTACTATTCATGATGGCTATATGCTTCTTCCAAGACCAGAGGCTCTATGTTTTTGAATATGAGTACCTGGGGAACGGCAGCAGGAGATTACCTTCATGTTTTGCCTATAGGCTTTCCAGAGGCATATGGATGATCAATACAGAAAACACAAATATTGGATTGGCCTTTATTCTGATCCAGCCATACCTTTCTTAGGTGCACTGGCTGATCATCATCACTGATTTATTAATCGCCTTCTAAACAAGCCATCTCAAGGAGATTTACACACAAGAGAATTCAAAACAGTTAAAAATTCAAAACATATCAAAAATAATAGAAAAGACAAAATTGAGTTTTGACTGTGTATGTTAAAAATGTTGAAACATAATAAAATATAATTGGGAAACAACCCTCAAACATATCACCTACATTTCAAACGAGACTAAAACCCAGGCAAAGTGTACTCCCATTTACCCATCTGGGGAAGCCTGGCAAAACAAAAAAAATGTATTCACTTGTTTCCAGAAAGTGCAGATAGTAGGAATGCTGTTCCACAGAACAAGGACAGCCACAGTCCATGGGTTTAGCTGACAGCAGGCAACTAAAAGCCGCCAGTTGGCATTTGCTACAACCCTCCAAAGCACACATAGGAAGTTGCCTCAGACCAATGGCTTATCTGCCTCAGTACTGTCTACTTTCACGGGCAATGGCTTGCAGGTTTTCAGATGGCGGTGTCTCCCAGTGGTGTCTGGGGAATGAACCTGGAACCTTCTGCATGCAAAGCAGATGTATTGCTCTAGGACATTATGAGGAAATGGAAATGGTGACCCCAAAATGGTGGCCAATAGCTGCTTGGAGCAATAGCTGGAGGATACTGGGTGCCAGAGGGCATACATAGTCCCCCCCCAAGTGGTCCGTGGTTGGACAGAGAAGATAGTGACCAACTGGCAACCCTACACACACTTACAGTGACCCTGACTCTGCCCTTCTCGCCTGTTTGTCATTACAATGCTGAAAGCGAAACATGGTTATGTAAAATGAAGTGTGATGCTACTGAGAAGACTGCAGAAGAGCTGTGTAAAGCTGCATTCATCTGACCTGGCAACAACAAGTGTATTCCCCGGGCTTTATAGCAATAATTTCATCTGCTTGGTTTCTGACTCACTTATACATACATATATTTCCTAGCAGACAATGAAATATTAATGTGTTTGAATTTCGGCAAGATAGAGACAAAAAGAATGAGTTTAAAAGCCAATTCACTTTGGATGTCAAGTTAATTAACTTGTATGTTTTGAAAAATCCAGGTTTAAAAAGGGAGCTGGGAGGAGGGAAGTGAGACTTAGATTGTGAAATTATTCCTACAGCACGGCTTATATTCTGGAAAGGCTCTGTAGTGCAAACCACTGCAAACATAGAAATGCAGGACGTTGTTGAAGACGTCGGTTCATTGCAACATGGTGCTTTGGGATGTTTGTGCAATTTTCATTGTATTAAGCTTTGTTCAGGGGTTGGGTTTGCACATTCAACCACATGTTTCTGCACTGGTACTTAAGACATAGGGACGCAGGTGGCGCTGTGGTCTAAACCACAGAGCCTCTTGGGCTTAACAATTAGAAGGTCAGCGGTTTGAATCTATGTGATGGGGTGAGCTCCCGTTGCTCATTCCCAGCTCCTGCCAACCTAGCAGTTCAAAAGCATGCCAGTGCAAGTAGATCAATAGGTACCACTGGGGCAGGAAGGTAAATGGCGTTCCCATGCGCTCTGGCTCTTGTCACGGTGTCCCGTTGTGCCAGAAGCGGTTTAGTCATGCTGGCCATATGACCTGGAAAGCTGTCTGTGGACAAATGCCGGCTCCCTTGGCCTGAAAAGTGAGATGAGCGCTGGACCCCATAGTCGCCTTTGACTGGACATAACATTCCAGGGGTCCTTTACCTTACCTTTTTACTTGAAATATTCAAATTCCATTAGATGTTTATAGGGAGGCTCTTGTTTAAAGAAAACATGCAGCCCAGTGTTGGAGTCATAGTAGCTGCTCCCTGAACCATTTCCCCTTTCCTAAACTTGATTTCTGATATTCTTTCCCTTGCATAATCTTAGTGATTGGTTGGTTTGGCTTTTCAGAATAATGAAGAAGCCGTATTGATGCTCTTCTGATTCATTTTTGCTGGCTTTTTGAAACGGGAGCAGAATTTATTTATTACATTCAAATAAACAAATATCACCTGGGGAATTCAAGGGGGCATACATGGGGCTGCCTCTCCTCATTTTATCCCCACAACAACCCTGTGAGGGTTGTTTATAATTCATACTTCAGCTGGGCTATCGGATATCCTATGTCTCCATGGTTATGAATTATCCATATTATCCATAGACTATATCTTCTGAAAAGCTTGGAGCAGACAACAATACAGTGGGGGGGGGGGGAACCAAGGTTGTACCAAGTTTTCACCTGTAAAAGTTTGCCTGACTTTGTGGGGGTTAGTGGTTGCAAAATGACCCCCTAAATGCTCACAGGCAATACTTTTGAGATGTTGCTTGTGGCTGCCTACAGTCATTGTGTTTCCCCTTTGTGCTGCTCCTGTAGCACAAATCTGTGCCTTGATCTCTCTCATCGTGTGATGCCAGTCACATATGTAAGGAGTGTGTAAGGATAGTACAATGCCAATGAGATTGGAATAAAGCATCCCTCCTCCCACTTATGCACGTTCTACTTGCGCGTGACTGGACATACGCATACACATTGGGAAATAAATAGATAAATAGAATCATAACAGGAAATGGCAGGAGAGTGCTGGAAAGTCTTTCTTGTTTGTGAGGAGACCCTTCCCAGATCCTGAAGAGGATGTCAGTGAGAACGGAGGAAACCCTGAAAAGATTGGAGGTGCAACGGGGCTTTGTTTCGGCTGCTTAGCCTCCCTGCCTAACAGCTGACATGCAAGGTAGCACAGAGGCAACCTCCTCTTTCCTGCGCTTCCCCCAGCTAGCCCCAGCTTCAACTCTATATATTTTGCTCTGGATTGGAGATACAGCCCCGAGATAGAGCAGGAGAGCAGGGGAAAATAGGCACTTAGGGGCTTTTTAGAGGGTACTCCCTACTTTATGCGATTTCACATATGTGCAGCCCCCCCCAGAATGTAAGTGGGGGACACTTGTGCCTGCCAGTACGAGGAAAGGTAGATGAAGACAATGGGAAGTAACAGCAAAGATACTTGTTTGGCATTGTGAGAGCCAGTGTGGTGTGGTGGTTAAGAGTGGCAGACTCGTAATCTGGTGAACCGGGTTTGCGTCTCCACTCCTCCACATGCACTGCTGGGTGACCTCGGGCTAGTCACACTTCTCTGAAGTCTCTCAGCCCCACTTACCTCACAGAGTGTTTGTTGTGGGGGAGGAAGGGAAAGGAGATTGTTAGCCGCTTTGAGACTCCTTCGGGTAGTGATAAAGCAGGATATCAAATCCAAACTCCTCCTCCTCCTCCTCTTCCTCCTTCTCTTCCCTCGCAATGGGGGTAAGATGGGGTTGCAGAGCAAGTTGTGGCCACAGCCTGAATGGGAGCTTTATTCTTTATTCTCTCCCTTTGCAGACACCTGCTCAAAATTGCTAGAAGTTGGTTATTGTTGTTACCAGGGGTTGCAAGAAGCTTGGTTGAGCTCTAGAAAAGCAATGAAATGAAAATCAGGTTATATAGTTTTGAAAGGCTAGAACCCAGATTTCCTGATTCTTGAAAAACAATCTAAACGGAGAAGGCTTTCTTAACCATGCTTCCAAAAGTTTATTGGCCTTAGCTCCCCATCCCTTTGAAGGAGAGAAAGCAACCAATGATCTTCTATTTCCAAAGATGGCTCAATGAAACCACCATTCAGAGGTCTCTCTTGGCTTTGAGCACTATATAGATTATTTGACGCATCCTTGAATTTTCCAAAAGTTTTAAACAGAGCCCCTTACCACAAAGCAAAGTGTCTTCTTCACACTAGTGCTTTGTCTTCGTGCAAATTCATCCCTTTTGCCTGCTTCAATTTAATTTTTGCCAGAAGTCCTGGAAGCAAGGCACTTTTAT